ATCTTGATCGTGGTTGATATATGTTTTAGGGTTTGATCTTCTTGAAACGGATCTTAGATAAAGTATAGAGTTCTAACCGTTCCAATATTTGTCTGAAAAAGATGTTTGATAAGTTTGATTCTTTAGAAAGACGACAGTTAGACCTTTAGGATTGGATGAACAATTGAACATGTTTGCAAGTGCATTAGATCTTAGTCTTTGTCGCTGCGAGAGTAGATTGATAAGATTAGTTCGAAAGAGTAGCTTGAATTGTGAGAGCCTGGCTATTTTGATCTGCGTTCATGTTCTAGGAGGAAAACTGAATCAATTATCTTTAGGAATTACCTGCATGATTTGGACTATGAAACCATGAGAATCTCCGAAAAAAACCAACGTTTCTTTATTATTATTTTAAATCGAAATTGAATACCGTTTGATCACTCTCAAAAACCACTTGCCTGACTTAGCATAATTCTTAGTTCACATTGCTATTGAGTGTTTCTAATTCTTTGTGGATTCGATCCCTAAGTACCACGATCGATTAGTTGTGCACTTTCATCCTAGGTTGTTTTACATTGGGTAAAACTTTATTTCGTATCAGCGATGTGCAAATTTTGTTTGACGATTTTATCAAATTCAGCGATGAAAATATTGATTTGATTGGAAATAAAATTAATTATTTTTCTTATTTATAATGCATGAAATATGAAGTGGTTATCAGTCACTTCGATATCGATGGTTACTATTTAAAAAATATATGTTTATTTGAAACTTTGTTATCTAGTATCTACCTATACATTTAACACTAGACAAATTATGTTATTTAAATAATCGATTAACATTTGGAGGCTATAAATTATCAAAATAAAAATTCAATCTCTTTCAATACCATGTTTTTTTTTTGTCAAACAAGTGTACTTTATTCATTTAACTAATCAAAGTACAAAGTACAAGGTACAAAGGGAGGGAATTAAGCATACTCCCAACATTAATACAACATAATTGAAGTGCAATAAACATCAAAGCAGATAGATCATCGTAGAAGATGGACAGCAGATCCAAGACATGCCTCGGATGCGTCAAGAGGGTCTTCACGGCAAAGCCAAAAATTCTCAGGTTAATCACTTTACGCTATGACTTTGAAGATCCCGGCCCGGTCTAAAGCTCGGGAGTTCAACCACTCTCCAAGAGAGGGTAGAAGATACAACCAATCTCAAAGAGATGGAAGGAGGTGGAATTAGACTCTTCCACCGGGAGTAAATTACAGGGTTTGAGAACCCAGAAAACTTGTATCTTCTCACAATAGAAGAGATATAATCACTAAAAACTACAGGATTTGAGGAATTTTGAAAACTTTGATCCTCTATAAATAGATATGACATATAGCTCAGAAGAGTTCCATGATGATGAATCTGACAGTGTTTTAAATATAATAATCAAATAATGATCACCTCGGTTCATTGTGTTTGCAGAATTGGCCTGTTGGGCTAAGCTGCTTCACTCTCGAAATGGGCCCAGACCCATTCGGCCAAGCCCAAATGTTATGTATTTGGTGGCATCGGATCTTGTGGGCTGGTTGGAGGATGAGAGATGGGCCATATATTGTTTGGGACCAAGAGTATTGTCGAGCCAGGCCCAAAATTGTTTGAGTAGCGCATAGAGTTGCATCGGACTTGGCCGAAGAAGGGAGGCAGCTTCTCCAGCGGTGTCGCAGGGATTGAAGGTGGTGGATGAGAAGTCCGGATGGACGACGAGGATGATAGAGGCGTCGGAGCCAGGTCAAACCTCGTTACGACGAGGAGTTTTCTCAGATTTGAAGAATGTGTGCAAAGGATTCCCGATGATAGCATAAGCTCCGGTGGGCATAAACTGTTGCCGGCGTAGATTGAAATCACACCGGAGAAGATGGTTCTGCGGGAAGTACCCGAGAAGTTTCTAGATCCACTTGATTCATGGTTCCGCCGTGCTGGAATATGTTCGACGGTGAAGAGAGGGCCGACGGTAGAGCATAGCTTGAAAATCGTCTTCTCCATGTTTTCCGGTGAGAAATTCAATGCAAAGCACTTTATAGAGGAGATGATAGTAAGTTTGAGAGGTCTTCGGTTTAACACCGAGAAAGGTTCCGAACCAGAGAAAGGAAGATGACCACCCACGGTTGCCGCGGTCTTTACTCGCCGGAGAGGCAAAATAGAGACGACCCCACCAACCATCGTGATTTTCTTTCTCATATGGTGGCCGGAGAAGAAACAGAGCAAAGACAAAACACAAAACACAGCCATAACTTTCGACCAACGACAGAGGAAACTAGTTGTAGGAGCGACGAGCCGCGGCTTCACCGGCGTCGGAGATCAGATCTGGATTATTTACCTCGATTCTTGTGCCTGGGAGAGATATGCGGCTACGGCGAACTTTGTAGTTCAATACCATGCTTATATATCATTTTTTCTTCTTTCTATTCATCTTCTGTATTTTTATATTTTTAATCTTTGACAAATGATATTTTTCTTGTGTATTATGATTACTTCTTTTTTTTCTTTTTTCTTTGCGGGTTTATTTCTTTTTTATTTTCATTTCTTCTTTAATTATATATTTTTCTTCTTTTTTATCTTCGG